CTGAACAGTTCCACGGCAACATGGAATCTTTTGGTCTTATACAATGAACAGAAAAGTTGCCGTGTGTGCACGTGTCATTCACCACATTGTATAAAGCTGCAGAGTGAACAGGGCCTTAACAGAAACTGAGAAAGCATCTCCCAGAATGCCCTTTGGTCTAATAGTTTTATGGTTTATGATCTTTAGAAGGTACTGTTCTTTTCGCCCCTGAGCAAGCTCTCCATTTGGGGTAGTCGTGAAAGCCGCACGCGAAAGGACACGAGAGTGCGAGGGGCGTTCTCTCGCAGCTCGCTTCCCTCGCAAAAATTGGAGAGCATGCTCGTAGGTAGACTACGTAGTCTAGCTAGTAGGCAACTGTTCTTTGAAATCATTGACAACTACCGTATATACCTCGTGTAGCCACCCACTCAGAAGTCCTTAGGGTTCATCACGCGGAGGAAACGCGCGACGAAACACTAAGAACGTCTGCGTGACGCCTTTTCTCGCGTGGGGTGATCTTCACGCGCGCTCGCGTTTCGCTCGCTCTACTAGCCCTGAGGAAATATGGGGACTACTCGTAGTCTAGCTAGTAGGCAACTGTTCTTTGAAATCATCGACAACTACCGTATATACCTCGTGTAGCCACCCACTCAGAAGTCCTTAGGGTTCATCACGCGGAAGAAACGCGCGACGAAACACTAAGAACGTCTGCTCTGCAGGCTATACCTCGTGTGGATCCGTCAGAAACTGAGGATGACGTAGAACGGAGTGTGTGGTGCTACCGATACCCATTCCACCCATGTCACCAAGTTCTTTAAAACCTTCCCTGGACCACTTCTTCAACCGTCCTGCGTAATCCACGGGATCCATCTGCCAGTGAGGAAAGGAAAGAGATTAACTGATCAATTGATTTCATCTATAAACAGATTATTTAACCTTTTCTGCTTTTTTCTCTTTCTTGGCTTAATAATGATCCGCAAGTTCTCCCTTGTAATGCTACGAAGCGCATCCCCTTCCCCACCCAACTTGACTTTGCGAACTCTACGGGTGGGACTGGGGCATGGCTTAATAGGTACGTTTGTTAAGGATACGGTCCAATCCTTAAATCTGCGGTTTGATGCATCGTGGGCCCATTTTGACAGAGAGATCTTCTTGAAACTAGTCCAGCTAGTCCCCCAGTTTTAAGTAGGATCGTTATGACCGATCCCATAGTTTAACAGGCAGTCGTTTTGGCTTCCTTATGTGTGTCACCTTCCTCGTGGTTGAGAATTTTAGTGCGCATGCCTATTTTGCTGACTTTACTATCCCTGAAGAAAACTCTAGCTCCTTTTAAGTCACAGGACCTTCCATATTTTTGTCGCTGTTCAAAATATGGTTTAGCTGGTGAGCCGAACTCTTCAGAGAATTACACGTATTGACAGCAACTTCTGCAAGCCGAATTACTTCCTCATTGACGTACAAAACGAACTCACGCACGCAGTCACTCACTCACTTTCTTCTTCACGTACAACTGGTACAACCCCTTCTACGGTTATAGCAGTCCTTTAAACCTTCGCTTATGCCCATTAAAAGAAGTCCATTTTTCTTAAAATATATAGGAAGAAACGTTTGAAACAGACTGAGCTATGTTTCCGCTTAATATGGGGTGCGCTTAATAAACATTTGACTGCATAACCTAACCTTCCCACTGTTTTCCACAAGAGAGAGTAAAATAAGAATCATTTGATCTGAGTCGTCTGTCCAGTCACCAGTGTCAAACCTCTCGCGATGGAAATCCCTATACTTCATGTCATACTCCAAGTTTGGCATTTTGGGATGGGTAAGCGTTTCCTTAACTTTTTGAAACGTGGTCTTCTCGTAGTAATTACCATAAATCTGAGATTAAAAAACAGAGTCTAATCTTAACTTTACATCAAGAAGACTGGGAAGATTAGAGGTGGTTTAGGGGAGTATTTTGGAATCTCCAAAAGGCAACACACCAACTCTTCTGACTAGCCTCCATAAATTTCTCATGGCATAAGTTGGGAGAAGTTGTTAAAAGATCAGTAGAACGAGTTTTGGTTGATCATTGTCTTAAATCTCGATCATGACTTCTTTCCATGATTATGCCCAGATACTGTGAGTAGAAATTTGATTAATGTCACGATACGGAGGCTTGAATGGGTTATGTTAATTATCTGCGTGCAGTGGTCTCTAGAAAATTAACAGTAGAAGGAAAAAAAATTAAATAGGTGCAAATAGATAAGATAAAATAGCACAGAGCACCTTAAACGAGGCACAGTAAGGTGTGGAATAGGTACTGGAGGGAGTCAGCCCCTGTCTGATGGCTTTCCAAGGCCCTGAAAAGTGCATTCAAGTGCACTTTGACCAACCAGGAAAGAAGTTCCAGAGTCACAAGGATAGACCTTTATCAACCCACATTTGCTTAACTTTTAAATTTGTTCCAAATGATTGCTGCTACTTCTGTGACAACTATAGACTGCGTTTTCGCTGGAAAACGCTGAGCATAGCATGACAGCCTTGTCTATACAGTTGTAGTATTCCACTATACTTTAAGTGCATCACTACTGGCAGGTGGTTGCTGCAAGGTGATGCCAACAAGGTTGCCATGGATACTGTTCTAACACAGCGCATTAGGATAAGGTTCCATCATGTTTCACATATACTTCCCCCAACATTTATCTGCTGGAGATGAATCTAGTAATTTATCGGACAGAGAATACAGACGACCTTGCTTAACAAGGTTGAAATGACTTCTTTGAATAACAAGTGCATTCAGAATTTTTTTTTTATACCAGTTTACAAGAGTTCATTGTTCAGTCAGTATCCAACCTATATGAGGAATATGTTTGCTATTCTCCATACAACCTATAACCGCAGTAGCCATGTATTGTCTCTTAGCAAGACTAGAACAACAATCAATGGTCTACACTCATTTTCATATTTTTCTGCGAAACAATGGAATGCTTTCCCTGAGGAATTAAGGAAAAGTATTTTTCCTGATTTTAAGCAACGTGTACAAAGTCTTAATATGTTTGATTATAGTTTTAGTAATTTTTCTCTTGTTTTGTGTATTTATTTATTTAATATTTATTTAGTTAGTACCTGCTATAGAGATCTTAATTTTTTTCTCCCTTGAAGACATTAGCCATTTAGTGAAGCTACACTAAAAATTTGCATCAATCAAATAAAGGTCATGTTACATCTACTGGAATATTTCCAAATTTTAAGTCTGGAAAGCATCATTTGCCACACTTAGCCTTAAGGTCAGTATACACAATATGTAGACCCCTTTCTTGTTTTATTTGGCAGACCCCTTTCTTTAGTGCTGGGAGAGGTACTCGGGTAGGATTTAACTAGGTACGCTGTGCTGCCTGGGCACCAGACCCTACTGGACAGGAAAATATTTGAATTCAATAATATTATGTTACCAAATTCTAGAAATATTAAAGCCAATTGTTTAAATCCTGTTCTGGCGCACTTTCATTCTAAAGCTTTTTTTATGGTTGAGACATTATATGCTATTTTATTAAACATGTTTGGATACCCCGACTATAGTTTGGGAGTCCTAAAATAACAGCCCTGTTGGAAAATATACATTAATTATTTGGCCTAATTTCTATCTAAAGGAAAATCAGTGCCAAGATAATAATAGGCCTTAAACTCAACTGACAAAATCGGATGACATTTAGTTTTGCTGGCCATTTGCAATCTCCATGTGAACTCTTTAAAATTGGTGTGGTGCAATGGTATGATCAAATATAAGGTCTGTATGAGGCCCTTGAAAGGAATATGAACTCGAGAGGTAAAATAATGGAGGTTTTACCTCAAATTGAACTTACATGCATTGCTTCTTTCTTTGTCATGAACTCAGTCAGCAGGCCAATAGCATCTCCGATGCAATTTCCATAGATAGTACCTAGAATGCGATCCAACAGAACTTCGTCACTTAGAGTAGACTTTGTGTTGAAAGAAGGCTTTGGTTTACTCTCGTGTTGAATATCTAAACCCTGAAATTGATAATTATTAAAATTAACGATAGTTGAGTTTATACTCTCAGCTATTAATTTTTTTTCGTATGGGTATTTTGAAGTAACTGTAAAAATATTTTCAGGTAAGAATAAGGTATGAACTGAACATTCTCTTTATGATTGTTGAATCTCTTAGATCATTGCTTCTAATCATCAACAGTGCCTGTCGCAACTTCAATTTCATCAGAAATACCTATAGAGAGTTCATCTCTGTTTATCTTTTGTGGGAAGGAGGATATGATACTTATATTTACTAGATCACATGTACACTATGGGGGAGAGGCTTGTCACGGGACATTCTATTTTTCATCTCCCCCCTCCCCCCCCACCCCATGAGGATGGCGGGTTTTTGAAAAAGGAGTTTTTCATTTCTTCTTCAATTAAGCTGAAAATAATTGGACCCTTCAGACATTTTTTTTAAAGGTGTTGACAAATAATCCACTTCCTTGCACTTCCTGCAGAGCAGAAGGGGATATCATGGGTGATCACACCCCATAAAAAGCAAAAGATTATTGGAACTCGTTAGGAACTTTTTTCACAAAGATGAACGATGATGAGATTGGGTAACATGTCAGGACGTTTTCACTTCCTTCTTGAAAGAACTTACCGCAGAACTTTCTGAGTTTACGTTGTCGGTTGCATCTTCGTCTGTGCTTTTCATTGAAGAGGACTCTTCAATTTTTGCAATGTCCGAGGGTTTCTCGTCTTCTGATTTCGGGTTTTTCGCTGAATCTCTCGTGTTGTCGCTCGTCGAAGAATTTTGATCTGTTCCAGTGTCGTCGGACGGTCCCTTGCCATGATCCAGATCATCGGCGCCAGTTGCATCTGGAAGAGTTTCAGCTCCTTTTGAGGAAGAACCCGACGGATCATTGCCCGTAGGTGAATCCATTCCAAAAAGTTTCAACAACAGGTAGGGATGAAAGCAATATTTTCTGCCAAACATGCACACTAAGCCATACGTACACTTTCCGTTCCGGGAAGTTGAGCGGAAGTGGTCCACTCAGAGCCTCTCAAACCTCAGTTTGAGGTCAGCGGAGCGAAAACGTACGTCATATATAGTAATTATAATGTACCGACAAATGAAGGGGAGCATAGGCTACGAACCCTGGGGGCTTATTATTATTATTTTTTAACTGCCCCTAGGTCTCCTAGGATTGGGGGGTGGGGGGACTTATTTGAGAGGGAAGGTTCCATAAAGAACTAGAATACAAAGTAAAAAAGTTCAATTACAAGAATTTGGAGGCAGGAGCAGATCATTCAGCTGAAGATCAAAAACAGCCGAAGTTCCAGTTGGTGAATAAACCATCCCGGTCATACAGTCACACCCATACAGTCGTGATTGATTAATACAGTCCTTCATTTATTAGAGAAGAATAATGAAGGGGGACGGGGGGCTTATTAACTTTGTTCCCCGAAAAGCGGCGGGGGGGGACTTATTTGAGAGGGGGTTAATAAAGGATTTACAATATCGCTTTACTCTCTTCTTTACTTACTCGAGTTGTTTGCTTTAACAGCTTCTTCATCGCCTTACCGTAAGGATCAGTTTGCCGTTTTATGATTTTCTACAACTTATTATTGTACTGATCCAGGTCTACAACGGGGATATCCGGCACCACTCAAAGGTTTGTCGCTGTGGACTTGCTGATATTTTATATTTTACACGTGTTCCTTCCCCACGTTCGTGGAGCCCTAAGAACCTCTGGTTGGAAAGTGAGACTCGCGTCGGGGACGCTTATTTATCCAAACGTGGAGGGAGGACGGAAGGTGGGAGTGGAAAAACCCCATCCCCAAGGCCTTTCCCTTTTTTTATTAGGGAAAATCCCTGGGTTCTAGCTTGGGATGACTATGATTCCCATTAACTATAACTAGGGAGAGGGATCCCCTTCGGAAAATTAAAATTGAATCCCCGAGGAGTCAAATTTGGGCGTGGCCCAGGCTTAATCAGTTGAACCCCATGGAGGCCATACTCAAGCACAGTAAGATGGCGTATTTTTGTTTTTTTTTTTTTTTTCCAGTTATGTATAGATATTTCTGTCTACCCCCCAGCCCTCAGCTAAAGAGGGTGAACTCATATAGTAGCCTAATTTTCGGGCGTTCCGACATCCGGTTGGCTGAAACTCCCACGGGACTTTGAACAAGCGAGCGTCCTCGGATGATCATTTACGAATCAGGCTAAACGGCCAAGGAGGGTCGGGAAAGAATATGGGAATACTAGCGGGGAAAAGGATCGGGCGTAGGGGCGAATGAAAGTACGGAAAATGAAAGAAAGAGAAAAATGTTCAGAATTCACTACGTATGGAATTGGCCCTCCTGCTGTGTTGCGTCTGCCTTGTACCAAGGCGCGTTGTAGCGGATTCGAGAGTGACCGGAGCAATTTGGGACCCCGCTAGCCTCCCAGCGTCCTTTGCGTCAACGCTAAACGTTCCCATGGTCCATTGCGCGATACTCTTGATCGCTCCCAGTCGCGTTTTCCGTTTTCAAACACTTGAGACGCCTAGAAGCGAGGCAGGTCTTGCGTCGTGTTACGATGGAAACCAAATGTGTTCAGCCACATTTTAATTCACAAGATGACATAGCATGCATCATTGAAAAGTTATTTATAGTTTCCCTACTTCTTATAAACCCCGTCCTCATGAATAACTGTCTTTTTGGGCACCGTGATAGCTCTGATTTTCATACTCTTTTAAAAGGAAATAGTCAAATTATAAAACCGATCTATTAATTAGTAGCCTGTGCAGCTCTCTCTCTCTCTCTCTCTCCCTCTCTTTTGTACACCATGTTGGAACGAGATAATTATTTCCTCCATTGTTTGTCTTTCTCGTCTAGTAATAAACAATTAATTATAAGAAACATCTTATAAGTGATACTTGTTGTTAGCGATTCAATTTCAAATCACTCAGTCGTATAAAAATCACTAAAAAAACTTGTTAATGGGCGAAAAAAGGGGAACCCGGACAACCCCTCCATCTGGGGAAAGTCCGCCACTGGCATTGCATGAAGTATCTGAATTTGGTTTGACAGAGGTTATTACATGATCTTCAGTCTTCTGTTTTCTAAGCAGTATCAAGAGAGAATGAGGTAGTGCATACACATTTTAATTTCAGGAAGAGTGACATTTCACTGCCGTTTCGTGTTCCACTCAGACAGCCACTTCTGCTTTTCGTTTGCTTCAGCCGACGGAAGCCATTTGCTGATCCTAATACATTATAACTTTAGACTTTTGTCAAGGCCATTGCATCCCCGTTTAATGACTCCCTTTTCGGCGTGGGAGGTGTCCTTCGGGCTATGGTATAAGCAGAGTTTAACGTATCTGCAGACGATGGTAAAGTGGAATTGCGATTTCTTTTAGTTCTTACAGTCGCTAGATGAGATAAAGACATTGACAAGGAAGAACTCCTGGGCTTCCTCAAGAAAATTGTGTATATCCTGATTTTGATCGCTTTTTGGAACTTTTCCGACCTGAAAGCGTAAAGCAACGGATTTATGAGGGAGTTGAGGCTGAAGAGTAGTGTTGGAATAACTCCCGTAAGAATTTCTCGTTTCTTTGGCGACATTGTGTCCTTGAGGTTAGTCGTAAGCCAGAGAAATGCAATCACAATTGGAATGAAGAAAAATAACATATTGCTAAACACCAAAATGCATATTCTTTTAGCCAGAGTACCATCTCTTTTTACACCGGCTCTCCTGCTAGTTTTCTTCACAGCGAGGAAGATTTTCACATAGAAGGGTATTGTCGTGCAGTATATAAGCATTCCCCATAGCGACAACCCTATACTCAGCTCATAGGAGTGCGGTATGTCTTTGAGTGGACGAATTGGAATGCAGTATGTGTTGCCATAGTACACAGATATTTTTAGTACGGGTAAGATAGCAACAGCCACGCCCAAAATCCATATTAGCACTGCAAGGGCCACCGCTAGTTTGCGAGTTATACGAATCGTGGGCTCCATGCAATATACCACGGCTAAAAAGCGTTCTACGGTCAGGACTAAGGAGGTCTTGATGCTGACTATTTGGCAGGTAAGCCACATGAATCCGATTATATTACACATGCCATGCTGGATCATCAAGAAGTCCACATACGACTTTTGTCTCGTTGAGATCAATATGATCGCATATAGACTGAGGATGGAGTCACTAAAAGCCATATTGCAGGTCAAAAACATGGTGACATTTCTCCGTAATGCTCGAGTAGTTAACGTGATTAAAACCACCGTTAAGTTTAGAAGGAAAGCAATCGGCGCAATGAAGAAAACCGCATTCAAATATTTATTACTATTGTCCCAGCACCTGTGAATGGGTGTGACGTGAATAACACTGTCGTAACATTCCTTCTTCGTTTCCAAACACGTTGGAAAAAAACCATACTGCGCGTATTCAACCACCTCCTTGCTTAATATTTCAATTTCGTTGACCTGACAATTTTCCTTTTTGCCCTTCCTAAATGTTTCGTTTCTCAGGTCTGATGCAGTGATGTTAAATTTCTCCATGTTCGAACTCGTTTCCTCTCTTTGCCAGGTGTAATTCCTGATAAGCGTACAAACCGAGCACGGTTGGTTCAAGAATGCACCGTGAATCTCCTTGAGGCTGGACAGTTTAAGTATAGCGGTCGGTAGTTTAAATGTGGTTGGATTGCTTGATATATCCAGACACGTCAAAGACGAAAGCTCCGAGCCACTCGAAAAACTTTCTTCCCAGCTAGTGAGTTGATTTGCAGAAAGGTCTCTGCGGATAAGAGAACGAAATGATTACAAACCATCCGTGCAATAGAACTCAATGTGCGGTGCGACTTGGGGGTTGCTTTACATAGCTTCTTTGGGTATATACATGCGTATATTCTTAGCTAGCTTTAGTGTAGTTTCTCTTAAAATTTGTTATGTAAACACATCACTCGAAGAGCATTTTAACGTAGAGATACCGTAAATATTGATTGTCTCTCTTGTTGTTGGTATGTACTGTTGATTACAAACATCCCTTTACGACAACTCTATAGCCTGTAAGTATGCCGCTGAGGAAGACTAGTCAAGGACGCCCCTTCCTTCTCCCTCCCCCTTCCCGCCGAAACTACCCGTGCTCTCTAATTTTCGTTTCGTCCGAAATCCCAAAAGAGAACCCTTACGATACGGTCACCTGCACATCGCGGGCAATTTTCTTAGTCGTGAAAGAGGACAGGGGTTGTGGGTATGAGAGAACAGGGAGCAGCGAAGTACGGGAGAAAAAGGAGAGGAAGGAGTGGGAGTTTTGAGAGCAGAAGCGGGAGATATAGGGAGCAATTACTCAATGCTAATATTTCTCAATCGAAGCCTTTGATCTTCTTAACAAGATCAGGTATATTTTATCGGTGGTGGCGCTGCTGGAGAACTGTGACGTCACCAACAACGGTCGCCATCTTGGCCGTCATCTTGGATTTTACCAAGAATTAGAAATCAGGTTAAAACCGCGAGAAATGGTAATGTTTTGTGCTTTACATGAGAAATAACACATAAATAAGCACTTTGCATGATTTTAGCCACAAGATTTACTTTTATTGTTCAAATAAGCTGAAAAAACAGGTACTTTCACTCAAAAATAGCTTGACCACCCGCTACTTATGACGTCATATCTCGTAACCACAGCAACTCACCATCACTGAACTTGTCTAAAAATATTCGCGAGGGATGAACGAACAACTACTGAAAACGTCAGGTTCTGATGTTTTATCCTCTAGGAAAAGACTCAGAAAAACCTTATGGGGGGGTGGCATCCACCCCGCCCCCCCTCCTTGTACGTCCGAGGGTTAAACGTTCGCTCGGTGCCCACCTACCCCTCCCTTAATTCAATTTTTGAAGCAAAGACCAGCGTACAAAAAAGAAGGACCGGATACTAATAAAGGATCTAATCACGATCACGCATGAGAAGTAAGTGTTGATGTTGGCCTAAGGGAGGGGTAGGTGGGTAGTATTCGTTTGCTCTTGGATACAAAGGGGAGCCCTACAACGACAAGTGTAACCACCCTCGTGGCTTGATAGTCCCCTTCAGATTAAGACCCTCTTTACAAGGAGGAAGGGTAACCCTGGTGCTAGGGTTTACCCTAGCAAGCAAGTTACCCAGAGCACTCACATATTTCTTCTTTTTTCACACGACGTGTTTACAAGGCAGGTAGGGTTACCCTAGCGCTAGGGTAACCCTAACTGAGTGCTAAGGTTACCCTACCGGCCTTGTAAACGCTCAGCTAGGGATAACTCGCCTACCAGGGTCAACTTTCCGCGATCATGCGTGACCAGTATTAAATCGTGCCAATTTGAACGGTATTATCCAATTTTTGAGATTAATTATAAACATCTAAAAAATAAAAGTTATGTTCTGTCGACGATGATAATATTATTTTTCCCTTTTTTTCGAGAATTTAACGTGTTTTCCGTAAAAAACTGCAATATTATTTCAAATTTTGAACCGTTACAAAGAATGACACGCATGACGAAACGCGCCAACAAAGCTTGTAAAGTTGACGCGGGTGATAGGTAACCCTACCCGTGAAATTTGGTTGTAAACAAGAGCTAACTTTAACCTGCTTGCTAGGGTAACCCTAGCAAAAGGGTAACCCTGTTTCCTTGTAAATAAAGAGGCCCTAACCTTAGATTACAACTTTAGCTTTGCTAATTAGCTTAGGTTCGTTAGTCATTCTCTCAAGAACAAGGAAATGTAATAAATCACCTAATAAAACACCTTATTTGTGTTTTTGATTAACATGGTAAATGTACTTACAGGTACTGTAAAAGGTTGAGACCTGAGAACGCACCATCTTTGATCTCTCTGATATTGCTGTTAGAAATACTCCTACAATATCAGAACATAGACATATGACAAAACAGATTAGATTATTTTCCTCAAAAATAAGCCCCACCCGTTTCGCCAACCTGAGCTGGATCTTTAAATACCGTAAAATTCCGAAAATAAGCCCCGGGGCTTATATTTTTCAAAGGCCCTTTTTGAGGGGCTTATTTTTGAAGGGGCTTATATTCCAAGGGGCTTATCTACGGAGGGAAATTTGCGTTTCAAAATCGATAGGGCTAGCCTTATAGTTGGAAGTAAATTTACCGTTTTTGCCTTGTTTTACTTTGTATTTGGGGGCAATTTTCCAAGTACAATCCCCCAGGGGGCTTATATTTGGAGGGGCGATTTAACGGAGGGTTTTTTCTGTTACCGGTTTGGGGGGCTTATATTTGGAGGGGCTTATTTTCGGAATTTTACGCTATGGAACAAACTAAGCTACCTCTGAAAATTCTCAAACAATTTTGTTTCCGCGCGAGGCGTACAAAATTGTTCGTTGGCAGAGTGAGTGGATGAGCTGCTGTTTAGCACAGAATGGAGGCATTTTCTTCGGAAGCGGGTGCACAAAAAGTTCGGCTTGCGTAAACAAAGAAGCAGCTTTCTCAAGCCCCCCAAAATTAGGCAAGCTATCGCTGTTCTCCTATTTTCAGAAACGAATGGCAGAGGCGCGGCTACCTGTACATTTGCGCACCTGAAATAGTGTCGAAGATATTAGATAAAGGAGAGCTTGAGCAACGATGACTGCGATGATAACGAGAACGGCAAAAAAAAGCCATAGGTTTAGATTGGCAAAACAACAACTTTGCACGAGCATCACACTTTTTTGTACATTGCTATGTCGTTGCACGACTACAACGTGAAACTTCCTCATTTCACCGGTTATTCTGTCGTTGTTTCGTTGATTTCTATTGTCATATATGGGCTATATAGGTTTGCCGCTGTGAAGGGTATCGTTTCCCTGTTTCGCCATTTTTTGATCAGTTGGTTGAAGATTTTATCTAGACTAGGTAAACAGCTACTCTAGGATAGGGGAATTTGGGGAGTTTACTCTAGTATAGCGTAGCAAAATTCAGTCCCAGCGGCACATCCCCACCCAAATAGATCCCTGTCGCCAAGTTAGATATCCTCTTCCCAAATTTTCCAGTTTCATAAAGGAGATCAATAGTGTCGCTACTGGGTTTGTGCAGATTCTAAGGCCACGCCTGTAGACAATCTTTGTACACCTATCGAAAGATAATGGTCGCCTACCCAGCTACCCTCTCATCCTCTTTCCGCACCCTACAAAAAAAATCTAGCTTCCCTAAGTGAAAGTTGGAAGTCTAAGACTACCGTAGATCACTAAATAACACTTAATAAGAATACTTACAAGTTCACAAGATTAGTGAAGTTCACAAACGATCCTTCGGGAAGAATTCCCATTTCACTAGATAACGCGATTACCCTGAATAACAAGAAAAATAAACCGGTTAAAAATTTAATTTAAAGTAAAATGATAATTGTCTGGTTGAGCTATTCATGTCATTTTGTAGCCTGTGAAACTGTCAGCTCCAATAAAGCATCTGTCAATGCGGCCATGCTAAAGGGGATGCTACATGGGACGATTAGCAACGACTATTTTTAGCGCAACACAGCGTTACAACATTGTTGTTACATTGTTTCGAATGGCTGCAATACTGTTTCAACATTTGAACCCTGTGTTGCGCTAAAAATGGTCGTTGCGAATCGTTTCGTGTAACCTTAAAACTGTTCTTATTGAATATTTGGTTAGCCTAAATATCATTTTGTGTATAAAAAATTTTATTTGTTAATTAGAAGATGATGTTTCCTCTACTTTGACCACGGCTTTTTTTTAATTTCTAAAGTAAAATTTGCCGACAAACCGCGCACGAAATGTTCGGAAGCTACGATACACCGAAAGCTGCCATTTGCTTTCCTGTGTTTTCTTGAATGTGTACGAAAAAAACAAACAAACAAGCAAACAAACTACCAACAACAAAATATCCGTTCATATCTCAAATGTTGGAATACGTAGAAGATATACGTAGGAGGTGGTTTTTTTTAAGACTACAATTGAGCTTAAAATCAGATCAGAGAACATTTAAAACGGAATCCACCAGGAAATTGAGTAATTTTAATTCTCAGTGGACAAAAACTTTGTACCAGAATAATTTAAAGAATATTGCATTCCCAGTTTTACATTTTTGAAGGGCTAAAGATGTAATTAGTCATCTGTAATAACACCAAAGAAAATTTCGCAAGGGAGTCCGAGAAAATGAATATCAAATTTCACGAGAATTGTGAATGTATCGGTGTGTGTATCCATTGAATGCAGAGAATATTCTGAAAAATTCAAGTAAAAGATGTCATTTTGTGAAATTTGACATTCATTTTCTCGGATTCCCACAAGAAATTTTCTTTCGTGTTATCACAGATGACTAATTACATCTTTAGCCCTTTAAAAATGTAAATTTGAAAGCAATATGCTTTAAATTATTCTGGTACAAGGTTTTTGTCCACTGAAAATTAATTTCCTGGTAGATTCCATCAAATATTTCTTTCTGTGACATAGGTGCGCTGGTCTACTCACAGTGTCTTTACTTGCGAAGGAAAAATGAATCTTGACAGCTCTGTGAGGTTACTTATTGTGCAGTTCGCTGATCTTTCTTCGCCTTCAATCTCCTTGCACTTGCATCCAGCAGTGCAATTTCTGACCAGGGCTTCGGTGGGCAAAGCCGCCTGAGCGATTACGGTCAACAAAAATAACAAAGACGATCGAGCCATCTGCAAGAAGAAAAAAGAGAAGTACCATTCAACTTAACTTAACTCAGGCTCTGCGGTTTGTGTTATTAAATTAAAACGGCAATTTCGCATAATATATTGTTGTTTACATTGCCATCAATTTAAGATTGACGTCGGGCAAATACAATATCGAATAACTCAATGCGCAATTTTATTGTAGGAAAGGAAGTTTATAAACGAAATTGTTTTATCAGGACCCAGATCAGGACCGGAGGAAAAGAGTATTTTAAAATAAACAGACAACTGAAAGAACGATATCGATTCGTTATTATAGTTCTCAACCGTAAACGTTAGCAATTTTGTCACAATCTTGTTAGTACTGAGCTTGGAATCGAATTTCTGATACCTCTCGAATAGTGACGTGCTAGCTGTTTTTGTAAAACACCCCTTGGAAAAGTGCCCAATACATTTTAAACAGAACACTATGAATTGTTTGCATTAGAGAAAAAGCATTTTTTATTGTTACGGTCAAACAGGTCGCATTCCTGGAAGTCCATTGCCTAGAAACAAAAGAATCGCCATCTTAAGATAGAACCTGAACCTGTATAAGTAAACTAACCAGCGCTTTTGTTCTAGATTCTCTGACAGGACCTTTTCATATAGAGTGTTTTCACATGACGTCACGGCGGGAATTAATGTGGGTGTATCGCGGAGTTGAATCCCTCTGCAAGTTGTTGACCGCTAACAAGGTGCCTTTTGATTAACAGATAAAAGCTATTTTTTAAGTCAGCCAGTCTGCATTTTTCCCACGCGTGAAAAATTAGCATACTAGAAAATCAAGCAACGGAGGTAATTTTGGTTGGCTGATTCGGCAAATGTCAATCAATCCAAAAAGTGGGCGGCAGACGTTTCGTAGAAGGTTTGTATCAGGCTCTCTTTTCGTTTCGCCATGCCCGCCAGAATGCAATTCAAAGCGAAACGAAAATAGAGCCTGATCTCAGATTACATGCCCGCCGGCATGCAATTCAAAGCGAAACGAAAATAGAGCCTGATCTCTGGTTACAGTTTCACAGAAACGTAGATATTGATCTAAAACGGAATCGCAGGAAGTTTAGTCGGCTACAGGCGGAGTTAAAACTTCCTGTATCAGAAATGACGAGCTCCTACTGAATAATCTACCAATAAAAAGCTTCAAAAATGTGAGAGTGACGATGGTCATACGGGTGATTTTACACGGGACGATTCGCAACGACGATTTTTAACGCAACACAGCGTTGCAACATTGTCGCGACATTTTTTCCAGCATTGCAACGCTGTGTTGTGTTTAAAATCGTCGTTGCGAATCGCCCGTGTAACATCACCTTAATGGACAGAATCTTTTTGCCTACCTTGGTAAGTCACTCCTTCTTAGACACTGAATCGAGGGAGTTTAAGCAACGACGTTTTGGAGCGAACCGGAAGTGGCTTTTTTGCGCTCCTCGGCCGTGATTTTGAACAAATTCTTGGGCAAATCGTTTCTATAAGAGTAAAGACACGTAGCAACACAAATTTGGCAGCGTCTAGGCATATTAAAAGAGAAAAAAAACTCATTTCCGGTTGACATGCGTCGCTCAAAAACGTCGCTGCTTAAATTCCCCTATTTAGTGACTCTCTACATCTACATCTCTGTAAATGATCGCATATGTTTTCCATAGCAAGGAGTGTTAACAGTTTAATTTCGTAATAATTAAAGGTTGCGAAGCGATGATTTTTAAGCCTTGATATCGCCGTAGTAGCAAGCGCTTTTTTCAAAAGTATTTTTTAATAAAATCTATCTCTTAGAAAATCGGGCACCCTGGGGCTATGTATGTAGAGCGAGCTCTCCATGATCTTGACTCATTATCAACTGATTTCAGTTATTTGCTAATCATAATTCTAATCAAGAAATGTGTCTGAGATTGTAGCAGCTATAATGAATTTAAACTGTTGTATATTGTCTTAGATTCCGAAAATTCGTAAATAATTCAGAGGGTAAACACAAACGCTCGTAGTTATTTATTTGGATACATGTATCTCGGCAGCTTTTTAATCGTTAGATTTCATCATGAAAATTATTTTGTTTAAGAAGTAGTTTCAAAAACTTAAAACAGCGTTTTAGCGGAGCTCCAAAAGGAGTTTCGGCCCAGTGAGAAATCAAAGTAACTTAAACATGCTTTTAAAGCTTTTTAAAAGCACTTGGGTCGTGACGTCAGCGTACGGCACAAGTGAGTCTGTCTACCTCTCATATAAGCCGAGGGAAATGCCACATTTAATTTTTTTCTTCTTTTTTTAGCGTGAAATCGCATGCCCACCGGTGTAATAACAAATCAATCTTGTTCTTCTGCACTTTTAGTCTGAGTATTACTTCCAGCAGCGATGTTGAACCGTGTGCAAAGAAGCTGCGCTTCTTTGTTATTAATATTTCATAAACAGACAACAAAACCACCACAACTTGGCCGAGCTTTTGCAAAAAATTCTTCAAAAAGTTTTGATTCTTTTGAAAAGCCATATGGTATCAAACAGTCTACTTGTAACGAGACTTAATTTGATCTAATATCCTGTAGATAGCTCAACTGGAATTAATAAAACCATATCTCTCCACATGCGTCTATAACGCTTCTCTCAGTATATGGCTATTGCCCTATCAAACATTCTTTTAACTGTACTTTCATATATCCTTTTAGGAGAGATAATTGCCGGGCCTCGATTTTCCGAAATTTTGTCTGTTTTAACCTATTTTACTACAGTTTTTTTTTTCAAATGAGCCCGATTTTCACTAGCCGATTTTCATTTTGCCCTTTCTTTAGATGTGAAGAAGGGTCCGATAAGTTATGTAAACTGGTCTCCGACATCAAGTTCAAATCGCGCTGAGAAACAGTTTCGTGTAGACCGGTCCAAAATATCAAAGTGCCTCACTAAGTAAAAAAAAAATATATCAAAACACTGCATCGTGCGTTTCCTAAACTTCAAGATGATTTTGTGTGGAGTACTGAAGTAAACTAACGCTTTTACCATGCCCAATGATATATTTAAAATATGTAAACAAGACAAGCTGATTGCATGCAAGTGTAATCTGCTGAGTAAAAGCAATGTGAAATACTTATAACATGCCGACATTGCGCGCTCGGTACGGCGAGCACGTGTTCAGCGCACGGCGCATCTGTCACTGGGCGTTTGCATAGTAGGACTAAAGAGATTCCGGTGCGTGGCTGATCTTTTAGTAGGATCTTACCTCAGCGACAAAAGTTGACGACGTATTTCTTGTTCCCAGATTTAACTGTACACCATATATAGCTTTAAAAACCGTTTTTACACGTCGCAACTGTTTTTTTCTATAAGGTAATTCACTACTAGAAACTGAAAGTGACTACAAAAATAATCACATCTAACACCGCAAAATGCCCGTAAGAGCACGTCTTAGCGATAGACATGTTTTTCTAAGAATGAATCGCTTTTTTCCAATCTCCTGTTTGCCAAATAAATTGAACGCGTAAATTAACATGACAACAGCCACCTGGCTTGTGCCTCTCTGCAAAACACACACACACACACAAAAAAAAAACAAACACCCAAACTTACAAACTTGCAGGTTCTTGAAGGCCCGCGGTTAAAATGTTTATAACTTTTAAGTCTTTCTAAATGACTCTTCCATTGCAATTCTTCTGTAGCGAGACGGAAGCTTTACGCCGGGGGTCAGAAAATTATTCAGCATACTTCCGCATAGTTTTGTCCGAAGCGCAACAACTGAGAAGGAAAAACTATTAAATAGTAAATCCCTGTGGTATTATATTCATTAAAAATTCATTTTATTTACAACTAGACAATAATTTTGCACTGTCTATGCCCCGTAGACCATAGAAATGACGTCAAAATGTTCAAAGCTGGAGTGGAACCGTGAGCAGTAGACAAGTGTGTTTTCGAATTTTTCGAGTACAAACGGAGCGATATTTTGTAAATCCTAAAACTAAAGGACAAGTGTACGTCGTCAGCTCTTCGACCTCCACTCGAGGGTGAACAACAAACAAACAAAAAAAGAAAATGCCCTGAAGGGAAATAAAATTACTTGGATTTAGGGACGGTTAAAGGTTAAAATCGATTACAGCAAAAGTGTGGACAAAATCCAAAGAAAATCAATTTTGATTCGGGTGAGCCGGAGGTTTGAGTTAACTTAAATCTACCGTGTAAATTTCGTGAGAAGTGAAAACACTTTCAAGATCAGGGGTGGAAATCAGAACTGAGGGGTGGCCGGCACATTGGGCAGCTATATAGACACTACCGTCGAACCCAGCCTTACGAACACCCGCTTAATACGAACACCTTGTTAATAAGGACGGTTTTCTTTGTCTCTGGAGAAAGTCTCAACATTTTCTCTAAATTCAACACCGTTAATGCGGACACCTGTTAATGCGGACAGCGGACCGACTTGTTCCTTGCCCATTTTACAGGAAAGTCAACCTCGCTAATGCGGACACTTCCTTGTCACTGAACTGTGTGCTGTTACAGACCTGTCCTTTTAGAAGGTAAAAATATCTTTAGCTGATAACTTGTCGATGTTCCCAGCGCCATAGCAACCCGATAGGATGATTTGGGGACGTTGATTTCAAACTATTGGCAAAAAACGAGTCGTGCAGATAGCGCTTTTGATTAAGTAATGCATAGGTGAGCAAGCTTGAGTGTTTCCGTAGATTTAGTCCAAGGAATCACGGTTTTGTGAAAGGGCTGTTAGAGTTATTAAATTTGACGATACTAATTACCTCATTTATTTCTTGAGTATTTTGGTCTATTAAAAGTTGTTGTTGTTGTTTTTTACTTTAATAACCGTGACCCGCTTTATATACGGACACTTGCTGTGGCCCCTTCGTTGTCGTATTGACTGTACATTAGAACCCCGCCTTACGGCCACTCCGATTATACGGACACCTCATTCTTACGGCCAGTTCTTTTCGGCCCGGGAAAAAGACCATACATTTCCTTATTAAAAAAAACCTTTAATGCGGTCACCCGTTAATACGAACGGCCAACGG